CGGCGGCGGGGCAGGCGGCGGCGGGGGCGGTGGCAACGAGTGTAAGATGGTCGATCTGCACGGGGTGAAGGTGGCGTCGTTCCTGGTGGAGGGGCAGGAGCTGATCTGCCTGCCGCAGGTCTTCGACCTCTTCCTCAAGCACCTGGTGGGGGGGCTGCACACGGTCTACACCAAGCTGAAGCGCCTGGATATATCGCCCGTGGTGTGCACGGTGGAGCAGGTCCGCATCCTGCGCGGGCTGGGGGCCATCCAGCCCGGCGTCAACCGCTGCAAGCTTATCACCAGGAAGGACTTCGAAACTTTGTACAACGACTGCACCAACGCCAGGTGAGCGGCCGCCCCGGCTGGGGGGTGGCGGGGTGGGGATGCTGCAGCGGCGCCTGGGCTGGGCCGGGCAGGGGGAGCGGGAGGCTCCCGAGAACTTTCCTGCTGCGCTTCAGCGAGTCGCTTCCCCGGCGGGTTGTTGCTAAACCACTTCTCATGCAGTTTCTCGCAAGCAACGGCGGAGGGAAGCGCCTCCCTTCCTCCTCCCAGGGCAGCGAGGCCTGAGCCGGGGTCCTTCCCTCCCCTGAAACTTTCAGGTGCCCTGGAGGCAGCAGCTTTGTGTCCCGTGAACGAGCCACCGAGCATGTGCCGGAGGAGGGCTCGCGGTTCACAGGCAAACTCTTGCTGAGTGGGACAACGTGACACTGGGCAGAGGCTTTCCCGTGGCTGCAGCCGCTTGGAGGCAGGGAAGGTCCCTGCTGGGCTCTTCGTACTTGGGGACAGGGTTCGGGGCGGGGGTCTTAATCCTTGTTTGTGACCTCCTAGTTTCTTCCTTTAGAGATAATGATCTCAGCAACTACCCCTGCCTCCCCACCCCCAACTGTCGAGGCCGGACTGAAATACGGAGTAAGATGGGGCAGGTTGGAAGAACCAAAGGTCTAGATGACAGCCCCTAGTTTAACAATCCGTGAGACGCTTCTTGAAAGAGATTTGCATTTCAATGTGTTCCTGCTTTCTGTCTCACCAAGAAAGTTTCTGTGCCTATGCCACTTTCAAGTACTTTTGACTCGTGGTGCTCTGACTTATTGCAGGCAAATGTTTAATCATTTTCCCCTCCCTCCCGGTAGGTGTATAAGACAGGTGATTACTTCTACTGTTGAGACCTTGTTGTGTCATGGGTGTACTTCTAAGCAAGCAGATGTATACAATGAAACTAGAAGTGCCTGCTTCTTGGGAAAATAGTCTTGCAGAGCAACAACAGGCTTTTCATAGTTTCATAGTTGTTAGGGGCTGGAAGGGACCTTACAGATCCCTAGATCCAGCCCCCCCTGCACGTGGGCAGGAAAGACTGCTGGGATCTTTGATCCTTGAATAGCAATTTTTTGTCCCCTTCATTACTGAGAAGAAGACAAAACAGTTTGAGACACTTGAGGGATGCTTGTGCTCCATTCCTAGCTGTGTCTGCAGGAAGCATGTCTTTTCTTGCTTACTTTCTGTAACTCCTCTTGCTGTCCATTTATTTCAACAAGTCACAACCCTTGGTGACATTGTAACGATTATTGCTCGTTTACTGAAATAAATGATGGGGTTTTTGTTTTTATAAGGGGGACAGCAGATTTAGCATGCACAATATCTGTGGTTTTCTAGACCAGATTCACTTAAACTTGCTACTTCAAATGTTAGCCCTGTTTAATCTGAAGTCAGGCAGAAGCCAGGGCAGGGTGGCACCTTAGAGACTAACTCTGTCAAAGAGGCATAGGCTTTCATAGGCAACAGTCTACCTTGTTGGATGCCCTGCTCACAATGTTGTTAAGGTAACAGCTTACAGAAATTTGACTGGTGGGAGAGAGTTGGTCTCAACCACAACACTTCTGTAACTTTTACAGCATGACAAAGTTTATTAGCAAAAACATGCAATTCCATACCACCGAGTGGATGAGGCAGCCCTTTTATACTTGACTTGAAGATTTGTTTTCTTCCATGACAAATGGCTGAAGATGCACAGAATTTATTGAAATGTTTAATTTAGCACTTTCTTATTCATCGAACTCTCCTGTTTGTGAGTGGGAGAAGGGAGTAAGATGCATGCAGCAGATGAGAGGCAAGGGCAGAAGAGGTATAAATGTGAACATAGGAGCTGAGAGATGCTGTGGGAAGGGACTGAAAGATGCATCCAGAAGAAGTAAGCAATGTAATCATCAGGGTCAGGGAGATTGCTTCAGTATTGGCTAGAGCAACTAACAAAGCTGACATTTAGTATGTACCTGAGCAGAACAAAAGTAACTTTTGGATTAAAAGGGATGTGTAGGAGAAAAGTGCATGCATTCTGCATATAAGCTGCGCTTACCTACTTATGGAAATTACATTTATCTTCACTTCACTACAGACTCTTAAGATATTTTAAGATAACTTTCTCATCTAGCACTACCGTAGAAGTATTTTTTTTCTTGAAAGTATCGATATCTTGAATATACCAACTGCTATCAGTATATTTTGCATTTTTGCCTATGCTGATAGAATGGGATCAGACACCATGAGTACACGTGAAATTATTATTATTTTTTGTTTATCTTAAAGTTAACTAGTGCAATTTAGTACCATTAAGTGCACTGTATCATGTGGATCTTACTGCTTAACCATACATTTGATTAGTAGACAGTTCTCGTTTCTTGAATGGCCCAAGATACTCATGGCCAAAAATGTTTGATAAAAATAGATATGTGGACATAAGTAGTGGAGTGCTCTCATCTTCTTGCATGCAATATATCCTGTATGCTCCTGCAATTCATTTTATCATTTAAATAATTCACTTTTTAAAACAGTCAGCTGCTGTAGACCTCTTACATTTTTGTACCTGGGAAATTGGGAAAGAATGTGATAGCAGGACATGCATAGCAGAACTTTTAGATGTGAATCATTCCACCACATGACTCGAGTATTACATCCTGCAACTTCTTCAAGGTGCCGTACATTCCTTATTCTCTGTCTTCCACAAACCATTTTGTAGAAGATGAATATATAAATCATCTTTAAAATCCTTTTGAAATATTGGGTCAGACTTGAAAACTGCTTGGAAAAGCCATTAGAAATGTCATATAAAAGTCTTCCCCTCATATCAGTAGAATTTTAAAAAACTTTTTATTGCAGAATTGGAAACAAGAAATATGTTTTGTTGGATGTAAAACACAGGTAAATTTAAATAAGGAAAGATAATTTTTTTTTTACTTTTTCTCATTTTTGCTTTGTCTCACAGTGTTTTCATATTTGAACAGGTTTATAGAGGACTATAACTATATACAAGTCCAGGGTTAGCTGTAGATATGCATCTATAAACGAAAGTTTTAATAAATCTGTTTCTTATGTCTAACGTTAAAGACCAACCTCTTTGATCTTTATATTATTTTTCTTGGTGGTAGGAACATAATTTCATTTTTTCACGCATGCATATAAACAGTATTGTTATCCTTGGTTGTTCATTAGCCTTTATTTATATTATTTGTTTTTAAGGACTGTAAAATACTACCTTTAGGAACGTCTTAATTCAGTTTATTGTAAATAGTATCTTCAAGAGTACAATGGGTGAGGCATGTTTATCTGGCTAATTAATGAGGCATCTATGATATTTTGGAAAACTATTCAAAATAGCGAACTAGTTATTGATTTTTTAGCTATAACATTTTAAAGCTTAGTCCATGATTTTAGTAACAGAAAACTGTGATGTTGTTCCTTTACAATTTTTAAATAAATAGAGAGCGAGTACTCACAGCTACACATAATAGTCCCTTAAATATCAGAATTATATATGTATGATCATAGCCAGCCCATTCTTCTGAGTATTTGTATTTGATGAATGCCATTGTCTACTGAGGTAGTGTAGTATTGTTCTGGATTATCTGGCGAACATGGAGTAAAATATTTCACATGAGAGGAGAATATCTTCTGGTAAAGAGAGAGACAAAGCAACACATGGTTTATTTTCTGTGATGAATTTAAACTATTTTGTTAAGCTAATATTTTGTATTACTTGGCTTGTCCACAAACAATAAAAGGCTTTAGAAATGAATCTAGGCAGTAAATGCAGGCATTTTATTTTATGGGATAATGAGGGTCTAGTCATGTTGTCTATTAAAAGCAGCCCATAGTCAACAATGCTCTGTCTTTTATTAGACGAATGATGTCAAGATTATAATTAAAGCAATCCAGTCATGTGCCCCTGCACAGTGCTTCCATGTGTACATTGATTTTTAAATGTATACTTATGATTGCATAAACTACTTTGCCCAAGTAAATATTTAGCATGAATTCAGACTTGACCAAACTTGCTAATTTAGGAGTTGATTACATATTAAATTAAAAATATTTAGGTTTTCAGTCTTTATTTTCTTTGTGGAGGACAGACACCCTGTTGGGGGGCCATAGCCCTTGTGTGGGAACTGAACCCTCTGTTGGGGGGCAAAACCCCTTGTGTGGGGGCCATCACCCTGTAGGAGGGCAGCAAAATATGTATTCATGGAATTATGAAATATGTATTTAGAGTTCACTTTATTATGATAAGAGACTTCCTT